TGATAGAAGATATAGACTGAGAATTTGCAACATGTTTCGCGACAATTTGAATGTGAGAGAAAAAGAAGAAGAAGAAGAAGAAGAAGAGTCAAATAGAGCTAAAGTCTTAATCCAAAAATTGCATCGAATATAAATCAATGGAAAAATCATTTCAGTTTTTTCGTCATAGATAGAGCAATAAATCGCACATCATTATCATCGACAGCACGGTTATTCTGAATCGAACAGTAGTCTGCGTTTGCTAGAACAATGTGGATGGCAGATAGTTGAATATGTGATTTGAAAAGCCGTATTGTCATCATGAAATGGGATAATTTATTATTTTTAAGTGCAGCCACATCATTTCCAATGACTAGTGTCGTATCCATGAAAATGTAATAATATGGTCAAATTCACAATGGATGCGCGCGGTTTGTTCGTTACATTTGTATTTTTTTTTTCTGTTGTTTGCCGTGGCATTGCGTTTTATTCTTCGCTTCGATTTATTTTCACTCAGTTTCCCGTGCGCGCATTCGTTTTTCATTGGATCGGTTTCATTTTCATTCTCACTCGTGGTGAGGTTTTTCCTGCCATTTGGTTTACAAGACCTGCCAACGAGTATTTTCATTGTATTACCGCGTAGAATGGAGTTCGTGTCGGTTTAACAATATGTATTTTGCATATTTTAAAGGAAGCAAAGCATAAATTTATTCATTCCGGAAAATTAGAGTCACGATAAAATTTAAATTTATTTACCAAAATAGCAAAAGAGCTACACAGAGTCGCACCAGCCAAAATGTGCTCCAGCACTTTGTGAAAATGCAATGATGTAAAATAACGGCGGTTGTATTTCTCTCTCTCATTCTCTCAGAAACACGGGTTTTGCGGCAATATAAACTGACACATCGTTTCCTGGCACAAAGTCAACGTTTGTCAATGCTTTACAAAATTATAACTTTTTTGTTGTTGCTCGGAGCGTCTTTTTTCAATCGAAGGTCATAACAGTTTAACATCAGAAGTCAGATAATGTTACGGCAAGGAATAAGTATTGCGCTTGAAAAATACAATGAAACAGCGGTTGCTGTGTATCATAATGGCATCGAAGTTCCTTGCCCCTAAAATTGACTTTATCAAATTTAATTTAAAGTGGCTGCTGTGCTATCTGCCAAACGATGAATTCATAATGATCCTGATTTTCTTCAAACAATCAAGCAGCAATTTACAGGTGGGCGGAGTAAGAGAGTATAATTCATACTCCTACTCCTACTCCCATACAAACGGAAAATGAGTATGTCTCGACATACTCTCATACTCATAGATACTCTTTGAGTATGAGAGTATATACTCAGAGTATATACTCTTTGATTTTGAGTATGTCTCGACCTACTCATTATTTACCCAAAGAGTAACTCTACACCTACTCTTTTTCCTACTCTTTTTCATACTCATTTGCGTATGTCTCGACTTACTCATTTTTTTGCGAAAAAATAACTCTACACTTACTCACTCGTTTTCCCTCCCTCAGAAAAATATATAAAGGATATATAACTTTTTCTGAGAAAGCAAAAAATTGAAAATGAGTATGTCGAGACATACTCAAATGAGTATGAAAAAGAGTATGAAAAAGTGTAGGAAAAAGAGAAGTTGTAGAGTTACTCTTTGGGTAAAAAATGAGTAGGTCGAGACATACTCAAAATCAAAGAGTATATACTCTCATACTCAAAGGGTCTAAATATTTCTTTTACTTTAACACGTGTTAAGTCGATTTTTGTGATAACTTCGGTACTAGTTTAACACTGGAAATGTAAATATGTCTATGCATTTAATACGTGTTATCTCCGTATTTTGGTGCTAATGGTGGAATTTCGTGTTAAAATGGAAAAAATGACGTATTTTAACATAGATGATTGCAAATTCCAATTATATTTTATTTTTTAATAACATTGTTTACTTGTTTGAAATGCTTTCAGCTATTTATATCTACAAAAAATTTCTTGGATATTTTGGAATTATTTTTAAAACAACATCAAATTAAGAAATAAAATTTTGTTTTTTTCCAAGCCTAATTCATTTCTATTCAAAACTTCTGGATAGTTTTAGAACTTAGATTTCTAACCTGGACAAATTTTGAACGCATTGAATGATAAATTTGTGAAAAATAAATGAAGCTTCTAGCAGACTTGAGAACTTTTCGCGAATATTCCGTCTCTGGTGTCTGCATTCTTATTGATACTGATCCAAAATTGATATTTTTTCAATTTATAAGATTTTTTCGTGGATTAGTTTCTTAGGCTTGAAAATAACTTAAAATTTCCCGAATTTTTTTCAAAACTTCCAAAAGGTTTGAGAAGTTAGATTTAAAACCTGGACAAATTTTGAACGCATTGAATGATTAGTTTGTGAAAAATAAATGAAACTTCTAGCAGACTTAAAACTTAGACTTCAAACCTGAATTATAATTCTAAGCCAAATTAAAAATTTCATTTATTTGTTCTGAAAATTGATATTGTTTTAAAAGGCTTGAAATTATTATTCAGTTTTGAAGTCTAAGTTTTAAGTCTGCTAGAAGTTTCATTTATTTTTCTCAAAATTATCATTCAATGCGTTCAAAATTTGTCCAGGTTAAAAATCCAACTTCTCAAACCTTTTGGAAGTTTTGAAGAAAATTCGGGAAATTTAGAGTTATTTTCAAGCCTAAGAAACTAATCCACGAAAAAATCTTCTAAATTGGAAAAATATCAATTTTGGATCAGTATCAATAAGAATACAGACTCCAGAAATAGAAAAATTGTTGTTTAATTTTTTTTAATTTGATGATCTTTGATACAACAATGTCTTTCGGAAACATGTGAGTTCATATTGACTGAACAAAAAAATTGAAGTGTGAACTAAATAAAATTAATCACTGAGAATTATTATCGAAATTGCAACTAATAATAAATATTGGCAACACATATAACCAGAACTGGTGATATTCCTAATACTAGTAAATAATGGGTACAACTATAACACGAAATTATGGGATAACTCAACAGAAATTACATTAGAATATTCTTTTTCGTGATAACTTTTTTCGTACTGTGGCTAACTCCAAAGTAAGAACGTATTTACAATAGTACGAAAATCTGTGTTAGTGGCAAATCGGCATATTTGATACCGATATTGGTGGTATTTCCAATGGAAATATTTACGTTTGGTGTTAAATACATCCGTTAGTACCAATTTTCGGTGATAACTTACGAAATAGTGGTAAATGTAGGAATAGTACTTCAGAAAAGGTTCTAGTGTTATTTTATCACTAAAATCGACTTAACACGTATTAAAGTAAAAGAAATATTTAGACCCAAAGAGTATCTATGAGTATGAGAGTATGTCGAGACATACTCATTTTCGAAATGAGTGAGTATGAGAGTATAAACTCGCGAATTCGCCCACCTGTACAGCAATTTGATCAAGCACAAAGCCGAATTGCAATGTAATTCTATGAAAATGGATACTTTCTAAATAATATTCATAAAACTAAAAAAAAAAAAGAACAGAAAATCGAATTCCTCATATGGGCACTTATCGTGACTTGAGTATTTGCACAAAAGCTTGGAATAAATATGAAATAAGTGGCTGTATCAAATAAACAATTGAATTGAATGTAAGCAACAGATTTAAGCGAACCATTTTTATCAGTTTTGTTGTTGTTTTCACTTGTTTTGTTAGTAGATAAACTTTGTTGATCCATCGAGATCCCCCTTTTTCTGGCAGTGTTGTCGTTTGTTATTTGCATTGTTTGCCATTTTTGAATGGTTACATTGGTGAGAAGAAAATGTTGAGCCAGAAGCAGTGTGCGCGAAGAAATAATGAAAGTAAATCGGCGGAATTAATTCGAAAAAGGGTTTGTCAAGAATCGTTTTGAACCAATGGTAAATTTGTTATTCCAACTTTTTAACGGTCGACTGGTTGGATGTGCGCCTACACATGTCGCATACATATCCTTATGATCGGCATCATTTCAAGCGTTGATTGTTTGAGTACACATCTCGTTCACCCTTCGTTCTTTGTTTCGATACGATAAACACATCGACCGTTTGTAATGGTTTAACAGTACACACACACACACACACACAATGGAACACATTGCTGCCTTTTTTTGGGGATTCAACTCGTGTGCGAATTGTTAGTCTCCACCGACGACAGTTAGATAACGAGAGTGGGTGAGAGATTTCCGAAACATGTTTGCCTGTACGATGAGATTTATACAAACAATACAACACCCAAATGACTCTTTATAGATTTCATCTCACGTCGAGAGAGCCTATTTTGCTATGCCAGTGTCCCCGCACATCATGACAAACACCCCATAAATAGAGATAAACACATTAAATGTGATATTATTTCACAAGTGTAAAGTGAGCATGTTATTGCTTGTTTTATTAGTGAGGAAATTGTTTGATTGAATCTAAGCCGAAATATTATTGATTTTTTTAATTGGTTATCGTCGATTTCATTTGCAAATTTGTTAGATTTTATAGCAATTTCCTGGTGAAACTATTTGACCATTTCATTCGAAACAAAAAAATCATTCGAGATGAATCAGAGAAGAAATATGCTGAGAAATTGAAAGAAAACGAATTGAGAAAATTCAATTCAAGCAGACATCTAATGTTGACATTAGATGTGAAATCAATTAAACTGAGACTTGATTGTCTCATTGAAAACAGACCAATCTCCCTCGTGAAAAGAATTTGCTCGGCAATTCGAATGCTCACTAACGCTCGTAAGTGAGGCTTTTCAAAAACAACAACAAAATAACCTTTTTGAAGAGGAATCAAAATAACATCGACCTCATCCTTCATGGAAGATAGTTTTAAAATAAAATCATGTAATTGTATTCATTTTTCAAATTTCTTGTTTTTTTATTCAATAATTTTCTTTGCATTTTGGGTATGTATATATATATATGAGTGTTGTGGCCACCCATTTCACATTCATATTGATTCATTAGTAATGAATCATTACTTTACTTATTTTTTTAACATATACACGTAAAATGAGTGAGTTAGACTAGGAATTGTCGTTGAGATGCATTAAGCTTATCGAATACAATTCTCCAATACATTAGAAAAATTGTAACAATTCAAATGATAAATAAATGTGATATTCAGATTATCCTACGGATTACTGATTTTTAATGATCGACTATCGAATATTAACATTGATTCTTTTTGTTGTTGTCTGCACAGCTGTCTGCACTCGATGAGCTGATTTCAGTCATTGAATGCCAAAAGTCGTACATCATACAAAAACTCTGAATTCGATAATCGTTTGAGCAAAAAAGTGCGAGAGCAATAAACTTCTAGTAGCCTACTTATTTACAATGAGTGTGTGAAATCGACAAGGAATTCAAAGAAATTTTTGGTTTGGCAAATATGGTTGGTTTTAGTTCAAATAATAATTTGAACCGACTACGGGCTAAATAATTTCATTTGTTGTTTGTCAACCACTTTAGTGTAAATCAAATCTATACACGTTTTTTATCATTTCCATTTGGAATGGGACTAAGTTTTTTCTTCAAACATTTATCAAATGAATTTGGTTGGATTTTAGATTGGAAACAATCTCTCAAGACAACTTCGTTTGAATCAATGTGGTCAATTAAAACTTCTTTCGGCCCACATTTTCTTTTCGCTATGATTTTATCACAATGTAGATGTTATCAATAACTTATTTCATTCTTAAACGTAAAAGTTACGAATATGGTAAGATAGCATTGCTTTTTTTTATGGACATGTGTCATTTGTATTGAATCGAGATCAGAGAAAAGAAATTGTATCTCTTTATTTTGGTTTCGTATCTAGCCTAAATTAATTTCTAGTTCACCACACGTATCATTTTTGCCGGCGTTGAACTTGACCGTTTTCGAGCTCATCGCTAACTTCGTTTAAACGCGTCTGGTGAGCGGTCATATGTCTAGTTAGGTGATGTCTTTCGCGAAAACTTTCATTACAAACCGGACATTTTAGCTTTTCCTCGCGTTTTCGCCGATTTGTGTCGCCAGCGTATTCACTTTTGTGATGCGATCTCATGTGATACACCAAATCGCTGGTCATGCGGAAACTTATGTTACATTTGGCACAAACATTTTGTGCCGTCAACGAAAATGATGTGGCAATTGTTGGTGGAATCAATGTGCTGAGTAAAGCGGCGGCCGCCGCTGGATTTCGTACAATTCCACTGAGATCTGGTTGAGCGACAAATGGATGTGCACCGGCACCTGCAAACGGGAAATTTCCAGCCGTTAAGTATGAACTCGAATGTGGTAGATCACCGTTTTGTTGATGATGTTGCGGTGGACGATACGCAAATTGTTGGCGTAATTTTTCATTTTGTGCCAATTGGTGCATTTGACTAATGGTTGTTTGGAATGGACTGCTGTTGATCAGTTGATACTCAGATCGGAATGGATAAATTGGATTCTGCGGTGGACTGGATGATATTGGTGGGCTCGTTGATGGGCAACTCAATTGACCAGGGCTCAGTGATGGAGCTGGCGGTATCGGTGAATCGACTTGTCGAACATTCGGTACTTTGGTAAAAGCACTTTTCGGAGCCTCACTGACGCGATTCACCAAATCATGTGATATAAATGTTAAATCTTGTGGAAAGAATCGTCCATTTTTTATCATATCATTGTTATTATTATTATTTGTTTGCTGAAAATTCGATGATGAACCATTTTTCATTGGATTTCCGTTGCTCAATAGTTCGTTGCGTTTTTCAAACATTTTTCGCAGACCATCGTCATTTTTTACATTAATTTGCGGCCGATATGTAACGATCGCGTCCGATTGAAGGCGTGCTTGTTTCTCGGGATGTTTATTTTTTAGCTTTTCATCCGGCAACATTAAAAATGCCACATCGAATGATCGTTTAACACTTGGCTTGATCGTTTGTGGTATCAAATCGTTTTTATTTTGAATTTCACATGTCAGCCGAGGCGATAACATTTTCATATCTTCTCTTTCTTGCTGTGCTATATCCATGGTCATCTTCTGGTTTATTTTATTTTTTTTTTCTCACACCAAACCGCTTCTTGCCGTTGATAACAAATTAATAAAAAAAAAAATATATTGGGAATTCAATGGAAAAAAAATAGCAAAATTCCCGTCGCACTGATTCACTTTGACCGCTTACAATAATAAAGGACTTGAAATGAAATACACGTGCACCAAAAACTGTTTAAAGATTCGCCAACGAATTTATAAGAGATCCTTGCTGTTCGAACGTTGCTTGTCAACTAAACACTTTGCTCGTGATGATGACGCATTTATTTGTAAAACTACATGTTTGGTGTGGCTCTGTCTCACTTCTACACACAATGCATTAAACAGTCGTACTCGTTTTATGTACATATGTGCACATCCATCCCTAATAAAATTCATGCTCTTTTCGGGTGGTAGTAAAACGATCCGAGAGGCTAATAAACGCGATACAGAACACATTTTCGATTGTGTGCATCCCGTCTGCTTATATATTCTCAAACATATTTTTCAACACAATCACAATATTCGTTACGGAATAAACACCACTACAACCAAATGTGAACTCTCTGTGTGTGGGCAAAACAGCAAGAAGAACAGAGAGAAAGGCCCATAAACGAATTCATATGCTTTTTTTGGGTAGAGCGCACACAAAACGCTGACTGAGAACGACTAGAACGATTCAGAGCAATCACAGCTCGACCGGCGCACATTGAGCGCATACACATAAAATTTCGTAACACACTCCAGTCGTGTACAATGTACATCATCATCATAGAGCAGCGGCAGAAGCAGCAGCCGAAATCCGAGAGAGAAGTAGTAATGGTTTTAATCATGCACCCTATTTTCGATGAAAATAAAAGCATACGGCCAAAATGTTTTCGGAGGGTGGAGCCTGCACCATTTATTCAAGCGCTCACTTCTTATACATATGTATATGTACAATGTACATACTATACCGATATGCTGTGTTGTCATTGGAACATCGCTTATATTTTGCAACATCGCACAGTGGCTGAATTATATCTATAGTCTCATCATCGGCCCCGGTTCATGTGCAAAATCATACAGTCTCTTCTTCTCTTCTTCTTTTCTATAGACGCTTTTTATACGCAATCTTGTATGCGATGACGGTAGCGGCTCTCTATCTATTGTTATTCGAAAAATGAGAAAGGCGGGAAAAACGTCTGGAATGTACATGTTGAAAAACATGTTGTTTATGTTGGAATTTATACGTCGGAAAATATTTTTCGGGCTTTGCTTAGATGCCACACTTTGGTAACTCTCAACGGTGGCAACCACAATACGACTACGACAACGATGACAAAAAAAAATGCATAGTGACGATATCATCATTAGGTGGCTAAAGTGTGGTAATTTATTGCCCACCCAAATGAATACAAATATCAAATTGCATACATCGCAAAAATGATTACGGACAATAATCCGACATGCATACAAACATTATGTACATACATTCGAGGAAAGTTTCAATTGAACCACTTGCAAATATTCTCGCACATAGAGCTGATTAATTGAACCTAGTATGTTGATTGTTGATAGGCAATTGAGCATCAGTTTACGCACTTATTACATTCTGTAGTCCAATTAAGATGCTCAACAAATGATTCGAACATAGATCTATCTCTCGGATTAATATCGCATTGACATCGATTTCATACATATATAATGGTTGATTACTTATGACACACTCAATAAACAATATACAAATGACTATTATGCCACATGCATTTTGCCAAACAACAAACAACCGAATTTAATCCGCACACAATTGCAACCACACCGTTTACCCAAGAAAGTTTGATCATGAAGCACAATTCGGTGGAAATGCATCGATGATATCGGCGACTTAATCATATATTTGGTAATAATATTGGAGATGTTACTCTTGAGAAATGCCATTTTCTACTCAAGAGAACACAATGAGAAGTGAATAATATTTATTTATAATAACCACAATAAATAAAATGTATCAGCATGCTGCAGATTCATTGCTCTTAATTAGGAGTCGCTGTCACAAGCGAATTTTGTACCAAATCGATGAATCTCAAAGTGAAAAGTCACATGTCAACAGGAGCCAAACTAAATTGGTTTCGTTTTTATATTTTTGTACGAAAAGTGCACAATGATGATGATATATTAGATACGCAATGAAATTGTCTAAAGTAGAAGGGTAAATGGATTTAAAAAAAAAACGACGATTCATTTGGATTTTGTTCTTTTTATTTCGATTTTACTGACAAAGCAATTCAGATATTACAAAATAGTTTTAATGGGAAATTAAAAAAACGAAATATGATCTACAAATAGATACTAAACGAAGCACATCTTCAATTGAAAAATTTTTCGTTACAGACATTTCTGTTAGCAATGGAAGTGCTTCTGTGACACGTGAGAGATTGTCATCGGACAATATACTTTGATGCGAGATTTTTAGTTTTTTTTATATAGTTGGATGTCTTTCAATGAAATGGTAGAATTTTTCCGTCAGTTCACTGTCTGGCATCTGAAGTTCTTGAACTTTCATGAATGGTCTTTTGAGTTGTTTAAAGAAACTATCTTTTGCGTCAAATATTTCAATTTTGTTCAAGGAATCGATGCAGTATTTATTTACATAAGTAATCACGAGCTGTTCAACATTCAAAAATGGTTGACAAATTATACGGTTTTCGTAAAAGTTACCGTAAATAAAAGACACATAGTGGCTCAAATGCCCAAAGCAACGTAATATCTGAAGTTCACTCTTCAGATCATTAATAAATACATTAAACTCATTTTGGTCAAATCTTGGGGCGTAATTTCTCAATGTATACCAATGAAAAAACCAAAATAAATGAAAACAATAGGAATTTTAAAAAATTTTAATGAAAAAAATAAGAGAAATGTAATATTGGTGTGTACCCAAATTTCATGAACTTTTAGCTATATTTTCGAAAGAAAATGAACTCAGCTGCTCTGTGGAGCCGTTTGTTCGAATCAGCCACGCTCAATAGATCATCCAGCTCCAAATACTCGAAGCACTACTCAATACAAATGAGATTCATATCTGTGATTTTCATTTTTATGATGAGCTCTGCGAAGAAAATTAATTGATTTAGAAGTGTTGAATGTTCTTTGGCATTTAAAGAAAATAATTAGTGTAACAATGGTTCCAACATTGAATACAGTGCTAGATTTTCAGACTTCAATTTTATTTTTGTGCTAACCTCTTTGTTTGATCAATGTAAAAGATTTTTTGTCAAATAATTCGTTATTCAATTGTTTAAAAATTGCGAACTGTAAAATATTGTAGAAATTTTCTTCTGAATAGAACAGGTTATAACTTCGACAACCAAAACTCGACTGACGTCAATATGTAGTTTTCTGATTTTAATTTTTCTAGACAGTAATTCTGTTTTGACTATATGTTAGTATTACTATATGCGAACAAATGTTCTACTCGGAAGATAACTGCATTGAATTACTCGGAAGGTTTGTAATTACAGGTTATTAGAGCGATGAAATCGAGACTGACACCAAAGAACATGGAATTGGGATATATTGTGTAGTCCATTTGGTACAGCTTCAGCCACATGGTTTCTTGGAAGTTTTGAACGATCAACATCTTTGACAGCTCCAAATAGAATTAACCACTTTTTATGTCTATGAGTGCATGTTTATACCTTTGCAATTTGTGAATTTATGTATTTAAATCATAAATAAATGGATTTGAGAATTTGTTTCAAAATATTTGTTCGTTTTAAAAAAAGGGACAGATTTCTTCTGGTGGATTTACACAATATCCATTTTCGGTTTGTCTTCAAAATGACCCGACATAGAGATTTACAAATACACATCGTGTTTTGCGTACTAATCACTCATCATGTATAGTACGATTACTCTTTTGAAGTGTATTCAATTCGGAGTGTAAGAAAGGAGACCTTTTCTTTCTGTTTCTATACACACCCGTAAATAAAAAGATTTTCATTCACATATTGTAGCTTGCACATTTCGACATTTCCAATGTAAACACTAGGGAAAGAAATGAGAGAGTACAAAAGCCGGCTCAACAATAATGAGCACAACTTGAACATACTTGCATATTCATTGTTCTTATCAAACGATTTAGAAATATGCGGCCAAATCAAAGGCAAACTGAATTCTATCGAGCACATCGAAATGTCTCCAATTTGTACCAATCTGGATAGTGAATACCAATCAAACCGCATTCGTCTTGCATCGGACAATTTTAGGGGATTTCAGCTCAATCAGCAGTACTTCAAATTGGATTTTCATTTCGAGACCCGAAACAACACAACAACAACAACAAAAAAACAAGAGAGAGAAAAAGAGAGAAGAAGCAGATTGGAATGAGAGAAAAAAAAATGAACTGTGAAGTAAAGTATTAACCGCATTGAAAATCTGAAATCCTGTGCCATATGTTATGAAAAACCACATGTTATGAACGTTTCTATTTCGAATTAGATTCATATTTGGCAAGGCCGTGAACAATTTTCAAGGATTTGGAAATATTGTTAATTCAAATGGAATACGAGATGACACATGCGAGCTCGTTTTGAATAAGGCGACCAAGAAGAGAGAAGCTGAACGAATATAGAAAAAATCAACCAACAACAACAGCACAGCACAGCACACATAGACATACATCAGTATGCATTATAACGTTGAAGCGTTTTTATAGTGGTTCGACTGGCGGAAAAGTGCACTGAAAAAGAAACCAGAAGTAAACATGAACGAAAAACACTCGAACAGGTGTCGGTATAATTTAAATCATTTGAAATTTGAACTCAGGGGGAATTCCAATTGACTGACACAATAAACCATTTATGATGACGAAATGTAGGGGAAAAAATAAAAAAAAAACTTTCACCATACGGTAAGTCAAAATAAACACTCTCATAAGCAGTGCGGAAACAACATATACTCACACACTATGAATACATAGGATATAAATCGAGGTTGCATCCAATGCACCCTTGTGCGCTCAATCGACAGTTCATTCACTGAATTGTCCTATTCACACTAAGTACATGTCGTTTAGTTTAAATGAAAAGGGTGTCTATTTGTAGCGGATCGACTCTGCGGTGCTGATCTTCTGAATTCAGACCAAGCATTGATTTAAGGCAAACAAATGTTTACGCATGCAAAAGACACCCTGTTGCTACATGCACA